CTTTAAGTTATCAAGGTGGGGTACCTCATAGAGTTTTCACAACTTCCTTCGGTTGTTAATTTCATTGTCACCCCTACTTCAGATGTTCTGTTGGCGGGAGTGCAAACCCTTCTTCAAAAGGATGCCATAGAACCAGTGCCTGTAACTCAACACCAAGAGGGGTTCTATTCTCGCTACTTTATGGTCCCAAAGAAGGACGGAGGCCTCCGCCCCATAATGGACCTCAGAAACTTGAACTGTTTCATCATTTACAAAAAATTCAGGATGATGACATTACAAACAGTTCTTTCGCTCCTGAATCGCGGGGCGTGGATGGTGACGTTGGACCTCAAGGAGGCTTATTTCCATGTCTCCATTTACCCTTCCCACCGTGTGTTCCTCCGTTTCATGATAGGAAACAGACAGTTCCAGTACAAAGCCCTCCCTTTTGGGCTATCCACAGCCCCAAGGGTTTTCACGAAGTGATGGTTGTTATCGTAGCATACACCCATTTGAAGGGCGTTCAAATTTTCCCATACATTGATGATTGGTTGCTGGTAGCGGACTCCAAGATATCCCTACTCAACCACATCGAACTGACTTTGACCACCCTGGAATCTCTGGGCCTCAAAGTAAACCTAAAAAAGTCAGTGCTCCTCGCCACCATGCGGGTGCAATTCATAGGGGTGATTCTAGACTATCTTATGTGCAAGGCATTTCTCCCTCCTCAGAGAGCACGGGACATTGTCTATTTAGTGGACCTCTTCCACAGGATGGGAAGTGCCACTGCAAAACAAATTCAATGGCTATTGGGTTTGTTGGTGGCCACCACCACTGTGATTGTCTTTGCCAGACTCCACATGCAGCCGCTGCAACTGTGGTTCATCCGGAAATTTCATCCACGACAACCTCAGTTCCTTCGTCTTGTCCTTCCACTGAAAGTATTGGACTCCCTGCATTGGTGGACTCAGACCCTCTGAATCTCTTGGCGGGAGCGCCATTCCACCCACCCACTTCTACACTGACGTTGAAAACAGACGTGTCCCTGTGGGGCTGGGGTGCACATCTCAAGGGGCTTTGCATTGGGGCTTGATGGGAGTCCCATGTAGCCCACCATCACATCAGTTTACTGGAGTTGCTGGTTGTGCAGTACGCACTCAGATCTTCCGACACCTGGTGGCCCATCAGGTGGTCACTGTCCTCACCGTCAACACCACGGCCCTGTGTTATATCAACAGGCAGGGAGGCACAATTTCCAGAGCACTGTGCTGGCTGGCCCTGGACATATGGGGCAAATGTCAGTCGTGGAGCACATTCATGAGAGCCGCCCATCTTCTGGGAACTCCGAACGTACAAGTGGACTTCCTGAGCAGAGGAGGTTCATCGGGCCATGGGTGGGTAGTGAAGGGTGGGGTATAAATCCAATCTCCCCCACCCACCCAGCGGTTCGAAAGCAATTAATTGCAAGTAGATAAATGGGTACCCACCCTTAGTAGGGTGGGGGGCACCCTGCCTAACGTGGTGGTCGGCGGCGGCGATGAGACATCAGCTCCAGAAAGTCGGAGATGGCGTGGCGAAGCAGCGGCGGCGGCAGCGGGCTGCTACAACCGGCAGAGCGATCCCTGGTGGTCAGGAGGGAAACATCCAAGCGACTGCCATTGAGACGGGCGCGCAATGACGTCGAGCGCTGGTGCAGCGGAGCCGGAAGGACGTTGCTGGGGCCGGAAGGAGGCGTGAGTCGCGCGCCCCGAAAAAAGAACTGTCGCCGGAACGTCGAAATGGGAGCCCGCCAGAGACGATCGGAGTGCCGAGCCAAGAACAAACACACCAACCACCACAGGGGTGCCGGTAGGTAGTCCCACCCCTATAGACTCTGTGGCCCTAGTTAGGGGAAAAATTGTGTGACTAGCACCACTTGTAAGCCGCTCAGAGACCCCCTGAGAAAGAGGGTTCGAGCGGGATATAAAGTCTAAAGTTAAATAAATAAATAAATAAAAATAAATCTCTTCTCTCTCTCTCCTCTTAAATTCATTTATAATTGTTGAGGAGATCCAACACATGTCTATCTTTGACCATGATTTATGTCTTGCTGAATAAAAGGTATAGTCCTTCCTTTTAGGGTTTCTAAGTTTCCAAGTGTCAATCAGATTATGCTCTTCTGCAAATTGTAAAAATGCATTAGGAAGTTCATTACCTTGTTTCTGTTACCCAGTTGTTATTTTTCTATCTGAAAGTCTATCAAAAATGGCACTGTAGTCTCCAATCAGACAGATCTCATCATAGTTTTGTTGGGAAATAAGTTCCTGAAGTAATTTGAATTTTTTTTCTTGCTGTTGATTAGGTGCATATATATTTACTATTAAGGTTATTTTACCTTGTCTTTGTGCTTGAACCATCAGAATTCTGCCATCTTCTGAGCTATATATTAGTTCTGGTTGTAGATGTTCTTTGACATATGTAGCTACTCCTCTCTCTTTTTTCTTTATCTGAAGTGTGGCGTCCTCTTTTTTTAGAGGACTGGTTTTCACTTTCTATGTGTTCTTTGCTTTTGTAAACTGGGTATTTTCTGCTGCCACCAGGAATTTAAGGACTTCCAAACCTTCTCTCCTTTGCTGTTGGTAATGTGACCCAGAGTCTGGGATTTTCAGGGATCTGTGTGGTCCTGAGGAAAGATAGAACTGAATTCTGGGATAAACTTGAACAAAAGATGATTTATTGAAATAAGAACAAAATATGAGGTTGGTTATTCTGTAACTGTTTGGGAATAAGGGACTTGTAAATATGTCTGTCAAAAGTATCACACACACTGTCCTTTTTTCTTTTCTTTTTGTTCTTTTTTGACACTCAGATCCAACACTAACAGGAACCATTCTTTCCTATAGGCAGCCACACAGGCTAAGCTCTTGGTAATTTTAACTTCCTTCCAGATCTTTAGAGTCTCACTTTTTAAGACATAACACTGCACTCTTAGATCCCACACAAAACTAACAGAACACTCACTGATCGCTCTAACTGAACAATTCCAATTGATTTATCTAACTGACTTTTCTATCACTGACACACAGATCCACTTCAAAAACTCCTCCCACACTCTCTCATCCTCCAATCACTCCCTACTTGTCTCTCTCAATCACTCTGCTCTGCATTCACTGCACTGCAACCAAACATTTAAAGAGACACACACACTCTAAAACAAGGAATCACATGAAGCTATAAAAAATGTCCAAGTTTTTTAATCTCCAAATATTTTTGATCTGATTATCTTATGTGAGTCTCTTGTAAAAATATAATATCCGGTTGGATCTTCTTCAGTTGTTGAAAAATTTGTCTTCTTTTTTGGGGTGCATTTAAGCCATTAACGTTTATTGAAATTATTTTTATTTTCCATCTATCCATCTTTATTTTGGGTTTTATCGTCACCTTTATGCTTCAGTTTGAATCTTGTAGTCCTCTGAGGTAGTACAGTCATCTTAGATGTTCCAGTTGTTGTCGTTATTCCGGAGGCTCCTTGTGTTTCTTGCTGAGCCTCGTCAGTTTGCACTTCCTCCTCCTCCATCTTCAAATCATCACCATGTGTTTTAATAAAATCTTCCATTTTAAATATAAAATTTATTCTATATCTTTTTCCCTTGTAAGTAAATAGGAGGCCTTCTGGAAACAGCCATCTATATGAGATTCCATTCCTTCTAAGAATGTTTGTAAATTCTGCATATTCTCTCTCACTCTCTAGGGAATTGCCTTTAACATTTTTATTTCTGTCTCCTCTATTTGGAAGGCATCCCTCTTTTTATATTGAGAATGACATGTCTTATTGTTTTTTTATTAAATCTCACGTGTATTTCTCTTGGTAGACTGTGCCTTCTTGCATAGGCAGAATTTTTTAAGCCTCATCAATTTCATTGTATATTTCATTTGGATTTTTGCACCCATATAATCTGCAAGTGCATATGCCATTTCAGTTTTCAGATCTTCATCTTCCTTCTCTGGTAAATATTATTTGTAGCTGGGCACATCTTTTTGTTTTAGGCTGGCTCAGGAGGGAGAGCAATGTGTGATTTTTCCAGGTGAAGGTAACACACAAGGTGGTGGTGGGGGGAAATGCCTGCGTGATGAAGGGAGATTCTTTCATGGCTCCTATTCAAGAACATCTGTTTCTAGTCTGCTGCTGCATGCGTGCATGGCGGTCAGGGCTGTTGGTCTGCATCCTGGCTCTTGCATGGCTGTAGAGATGCAGGGGCAGGAGGCTCTGTAGTCCCAGGTCCACATCTGGTTTGGCATGCTTCTTAGGCACAAGGCTCCCCTTGGCCACAGTGCATATTTCATAGTCCAGTACAAGGGCCCTTCTCTTGGGAACACAGCTCTAATAATTGCTTTGACACACATTTTGCACAGTTCAGCAAGGTAGTCATATTTAAGAGTCTTTAGTAATGCCATCTGAAGTGGCTGCATGACAACAGGTGCAAGGGGCTTGATAGCCGCTCTGTGTGCATAGATCACAGTGTGCAGCCTTTTGCATCCTGGCAGCTGAATTTAAAGAAATTAAATTCCAGTTATATATTAAGGAGAGTGCTATATAATTAGTATAAGCAATATCAAAATCTTTTCATTTAAAAGGATGTATGTCTTCTCCAGTAATAAATAGGGTTGCCAGCTCTGGGTTGGGAAATGCCTGGAGATTGTGGGAGAGGAGCCTGGGAAGGGCAGGGTTTGGAGAGGGAAGGAACCTCACCAGGGTATAATGCCATAGAGTCCACCTCCAAGTCAGCCATTTTCTCAAGGGGAACTGATCTCTGTTGCCGGGAGATCTCCAGGTTTCACCTAGAGGCTGGCAACTCTAGTAATAAATGTGCCAGATGAGCAAACCTACTATTCATGAATCCCATTATCTATATTTTGCCACAACCAAGAGTTTTAGTCTTCGTATAGTTTACATCTTTTGTGAAGTTTGTAACTGTACTGACTTTATGAGGAAACAGAATATTAATTTATTTTATTTTGTTGTTCATCCTTTAAATTTTTAGCCACTGAGAACGTTAGTCATGACAAGTATGTCTTTTGAGTAAGTACTAAATATTTCTGTGACTTTCTGTCAGGGTTAAATTAGAGGTTAACTATGCTTCATTATCATATAAAAGACTCAATCAAGACAATCTTCCAAACTCAGTGGTTTGGACTAGAGTTGGAAATTAGTATAGATTGCCATGTTACCTGAAACACAAAGCTGCGGTTGGTACTTTCAGTACCAGTACTAGAAACCCGTTTCAAACCATGAGTTATGACAAACAGTGAAACCTGCAGAACAGGACTTCCCTTCTCTCGTGTAGTCTGTTGAGCACTCTGAAATGTTGTCCGTGCTGGTCAGAGAGTTCAAAGAACTGGGGAGAGGGAGGCTGCAGTGAGAGGGGGAAACTGGAAAACACTGAACTCCCCTTCTCTGCCAGTAGAAACGCTGTAGTGTATCATAATGCTGATGGAACAACATTGTTGGATCCAGTATACAATTTCCAAATCAAGTTGGGAGGGAAAACATGGCAAATTATGGTTAATGCAAAAAGTAAATAGAAAGGGAAAGCTACACAAAGAAGGGGGAGAAGGGAAGACATGAACTCTACATTTTGTTTTTGATCCCCAAACCATGGGCTGAAAGATTGTCTGAAATGCATATACTTAATTTGTTTATAGGTCAAAAACACACGGTCGAACCCAAAACCTACTGCGTAGAGCTCCACTCAGAACAGATCTTTTTAATACTCATTCTTTGTAGCTCCCATGACACCCAAGAAACTTCTAATGGATGTCTGAATATTCTCTGGAACAGCATGGGATACCATGTAGGCAGTTGCAGCTTGAGAGGCAGATCTATGGAAATTGCAACCTCCCTCCTAGCTAAATGGAAGTGCCTTGTACTCACTCACATGAAGGTTACTTTAGATACACCCTATAGGCCAGGGGTGGCCAAACTTGCTCAGCGTAAGAGCCACATAGAATAAATGTCTGAAAGCCGCAAAACATGAACAAATATTATACGCACATTTTTATTTTAAAATATTCAAATTTGCTTTTTTATTAACATTAAATGAGACTGCCAAAAATAAAAACAAAAGGGGTAAAACCAGATATTGATAATAATAATTATTTGCTTGTTAATGAGATTTATTTGTCTAAGAGAAAGAGAAAAAGAGAGGTGGAAAGAAAGAGAGAGGGAGAGAGAGAGAAACAAAGAAAGTAAATAGACAGGAGGGAGTGAGGGAGAAAAAGTATTCCTCCCCTTCGCTTCCTGAGCTGCCTTGTCGGGAGCCGCACAATATGTGTGAAAGAGCTGCATGTGGCTCCTGAGCCTCAGTTTGGCCACCCCTGCTATAGGCCATAGCTAGAAATGAAATAGAAAGTGACAGTCATACTTAACCTACATTAATTGTGTAGGATAGGAAGGGAATAGTTGAACTCATCAAACTGAAAGCTTACGTTTATAGATGCTATGATTGGAAAGGTAAAGGTATTCACCCTGACCTGGATAGCTCAGGCAAGCCCAACCTCATCAGATCTCAGACGCTAAGCAGGGCCAACCCTGACAAGGACTTAGAAGGGAGATCTCCAAGGAATACCAGGGCTGGGATGCAGAGACAGGCATAAGTAAGTCACCTCTCTGAAACATCCAAGCCCCACTAGGGGTTGCCAGAAGTCAACCGTGACTTCCAGGCATACACACACACACACAAATATCCCCAAAAGATAAAGATATGTGGCCTCTGATTTAATTTACAGTACTTGAGCCCTAAAGTTGGCTTTGACTCGTGAAAGCTTATACCATGGAAAATTCTGTTGGTCTCTAAGGTGCTCCTGGATTCGCATTCATTCTTTTACTACAGAATAACATGGTTATCCACCTGAAATTATCTTCATTTTTATATTAACTGCAATAGCTTTGAGAACGCACTCATGTGAAACAAATAATTCAGTTCTGTTCACATAAAACATTATTACCATAAAGAATGTTGCAAATAGAGGGTTGGATCCAGAATACATTGGAAGAATGGAACTTACCTGCTCTCCTACTACTATAGTCAAGTGATCTCCATAAAATGCTGCTATTGGGGGACAGGGGACCCTGGGAATAGTATGGGAGAGTTAGCAGGAAGGGGAAGTAAATAAACACTCAAAAACCATACATTATATGAAGTATACATCTGTGTTGCATCAAGTCTGAGATAAGACCTGTATATCTGAATTGATCTAATTTATATTCCTTTCTTATATCACTGTTTATGACCTTGTGAATTTTACTACAAGCCTTTGTTTAGGCTTTGTGATATAGACTATATAGTAGTAACTTTTATTATTTTTAAAATATCATATTAGCAGCTTCCCAAGCCAATTTTCATTATATATACAGATATATAGAACTAGTATAATGATTTTCTCCCCTTTCTTTAAAGGCAGAAGAATGCAGTTGTTCAGGTGGGAAAGAAATTGGGAGGCTTTCTGTTTTCAAATGAAGTGTGTGAAAATACGAGCCATGTGATTGCAGGGAGTCCCCGTCGTACCTTAAATGTACTTCTGGGAATTGCACGAGGTTGCTGGATTGTCAGTTACGAATGGGTAAGTAAATGTGGTTGATCATCTGGATGCTTTTTTTGTTTCAGTTATCAGTGTGGTCTCTCATCTGATAAATTGCTCTGGCAATCTTGTATCAGATGTATCAGGCAGAGTATAAATTTTTAAATAAATACCCAGAATTTTTCTAGGGTGAAGTAAACCAACAATTTGTTGCGTGTAAACTATTTACGGGTTTTTGATCTGGATAACTTAATTTGAAGCAGATTACACAAAGTTCCACAAAAACATAAATTAAAGAGTTTTTATTGCCATGTATCTCATTTAATGTACTGTATTTTTATTTCATGTAAAAATAAGCATGGATAGTTAGAGATCTGAAAGATATGTGAAGGAGTTTTTGTTTTAGTGGGAAGATTTGGAAAAAATGCTCTAAATTAATTTCTGACTCTAAACTGAAAGTTATTTAAATTTATTTTTAGTAGAAGTAGTAGTACTGGTATTGGTGTTATTATTCATAATGCTATGATATTATTAATAAAAATATTGTTAGTACTATTTAGTAGAACTTTTCCATGGGTCTTAAGAGGCCTTACCCCAGTTTTCCTTCCAGGAACACAGAGACTGGTATTATTCATACTCATGTATGAATAATAGATGACTGAAGCTTTTTATGCTTTTTGCTTCTCCACGACCTTTTTTATCCCCTTCTCTCTCTGTGTCTTATTCAGAAAGGGGGGGAAGGCTGGCACAGCTGGCAGTAACTCTTGAGGAAACCTGAAAGGCCCATGCAGATGAACTTCACTGTGTGTAGTTCTTCAGTGATTCAAATCATGAATTCAGAGCAAAAGAAATATATCTATATATTTTACAGATTAATAGTAGTAGCAAATCTCACTTCTACTACAGCCCTGTTAACTAGAGATGAATTCAAATATAACATATCATACCCATATCTATTGTAAATACCCATTAGAAACACCTGTCTTCTGACTGTGAAACAGATAACACATTAGGCTTGCCAAACCCCCGCTGGGCCCGGGGGAACCCCCGCTTTCAATACCCCCCTCCCCGCTTTCTAAAAATTGGGGCCCGGGGGGAAAAAATGGCGGCCGGAAAATGACGCTCAGGATTTAAGTCCTCCAAGGGCTAGAGCGTCATTTTCCAGTTCCCTGGTGGGCTGGTCAACTGCTACTTTCGTTTTTGTCCTTGTGTGGCCAGCAGTCTCTCTCTGAGCCTCACGTGCCTGCCTGTGCCTTGCTGTTCCTGAGCCCCCCGGTGCTTTTGTTTTTGTCTGTTTTTGTCCTCGTGGCGTGGAGCAGTCTCTCTCTGCGCCTCTCCTCACTGCCTGTGTCTGTGCTGTGGCTGGCCTCGTGGCAGCGGTTCTTCACACCCCCCACTGTGAGATGTAAGTCTTGGGGACGGGGACCCTAAGGTTTTTAATCTGGGCGGGGGGCGGCAGACCCTCATGCCAGCCAAGCGCTCACAAAGTTGTATTTTGGGATGTTTGCTCAGGAGGCGCTGGGGCTGCTGCCTTCCGGTGTCGTCGGCTCCCCCCCCCCACAGACCCTCATGCCAGCTAAGCGCTCACAAAGTTGGATTTTTGCTCAGGAGACGCTGGGGCTGCTGCCTGCCGGTGTCGTCGGCTCCCCCCCCCACAGACGCTCATGCCAGCCAAGCGCTCACAAAGTTGGATTTTTGCTCAGGAGACGCTGGGGCTGCTGCCTGCCGGTGTTGTCGCTCGTTGCTCCATTTCTCACTCCCACTGTCCAATAGATAAGATTTGTGCAGCCAGCTTCAACCTCGCTCCACCCCACCCTTTCGTATTGCAAGTGTTTATATTGTTTTCTCCCTAGTGGAAATCGTGCAGGTTTCAGTGCCGGTAAACCACAGAAAAAGCGATTTCCGCATAAAACAAAACAAAGCTGCTAATTCCTTCCTGATCTTCCTATAACAATTGACAACTGCGCGTTTATGGTGTGAAGTCGTTCGGAAATATGTGCCCCCTTGGAAACTCTGAACGTTATGGAGGGAAGAGTGGCAGTATTCTCCTTCGGTGGGGTTGTATCTCGGCAAATGAACACGGGCCCTCGTTTGCCCCTCCTTCGTATAGAACAGAAGCCATAACATCCCCCTTCAGTTGCGCCCTTCTAGTCTGCTTTTCCTTCCACTTTTCCAGGTGCCTGACTGCAGCCCGGAACCGGACTTACCTCAGGAGAGATTCTCCTCAGCGCCATCACGGCTGCGGAGGAAGCGGAGGGCGGGGCCGGGGGCGGGGCTTCTTCCCGTCACGGCCTGCGGCTCGGCTCCCCCCCCCCCCCCCCCCCGCACAGACCCTCATGCCAGCCAAGCACTCACAAAGTTGGATTTTTCCTCAGGAGATGCCACAGCGCCCTTGCCTTTCCTTGCCTGTGTGTCCTATTGCTTACTTCCGTTCCCTGCGCCTTTCTGCAATTGCATACTAGGTGCCCAGGGAGGGGGGGGGCTGGCTTTCTAAACTTTTCCAGCTGCTCCTCGCCCTTTCGCCCCCCCCCCCAAAAAAAAAAGTGACAGGGAAGGAAGGGATGCTTTTGGCTGCCTGTCTGTCTACTTTCCTTCCTATTGTCTTTCTGTCTGTCTCTCTTCTTTCCTTTCTTTCATTTTTATTTCTTTTACTCCTCTCTCCCCATCTGTTTTCTACCTCTAGCTTCCTTCCTTTCTCTGTCTTTCTCTCTGTCTTTTTCTTTGTCTTTTTTCTCTTTCTTTATCTGTCCTTTTCTCTGTCTCTCTTGCTCTGTTTCACCCCTCCCTTTTGTGTTTCTGTCTTTCTTGTTTTCTTTCTGTCTCTGTCTTTCTCAGTCCATATTCTTTCAGAGCAGAGGTCCATCAGTGGCTATTAGCCACAAGGTATAGATAGGAACCCTCAGTCTGGGGCAAGGAATGC